ATCCTTTACAGGAAGAGGAAAAAAATGTATGTCTGGTTTCATAGGAACTTGTTCTGAGTTATATACTGACATGACGAAGAAAATGGAGCATCTGACAGCTGACAGACAGTTCAACTTTTAGCACTGAAAGATTAGAATGTAACAGTATGTAGAGGCAGGAGGGAAGTACACTGAAAGAGAAAATTCATTTTCAAAATTACAAAGCAATTTTTTAATAGTTATATGCTGTACCATTAGACAACCGGAAATAAACTGCTTTCAGAATAACAACCTTCATTATTAGTGAGAACATTAAAATGCCTTTCTGTTTAAAACCTTCTCATATACAGGGGTTGGAGAAAAATATTGAAACACCTTTAAAAAAGCATGTTTCTTTGCTTAATATGGTGTAGGAAACCCGTTGGCATCCAAAAAAAATTTCCAGTCTTCTCGGAATGGATAAATACAGTTCCTGTATGTTTGCCAAGGGAATATTATACCATTCTTCCTGCAAAACGGTGGCAAGTTCAGATAACGATGTTGGCGGTGGATAACGAGAACGCACTTTCCGTTCCAATGTAGACCACAAAGGTTCGATAATATTCAGGTCTGGTGACTGTGGTGGCCAGGGGAGATGGGACAACTCATCCTTGTGCTCAGAAAACCAGTCCTGGACAATGTGAGCTGTGTGAACAGGGGCTTTGTCATTTTGGAAGACACCATCACCATCGGGGGAACAAAGTTTGTACCATGGGATGAACTTGATCGGCCAAAATGTTCACATAAGTCTTGGCAGCATGTGCCTTGTCACAGTTATCATGGGGTTAGCAGAGAACTACGATATGGCTGCCCAAACCATAACAGTACCATAACAGAACCCCCGCCATGTTTCACTCTTGGCAACAAGCAGTCTGTATTATAGGCTTGAAATGGCGTTCTCCAAACGTAAACTCGGCCAGAAGTGGGGAAACAATGTGAAAGAAGACTCGTCAGACCATATTACTCGCTTCCACTGCTCTATAGTCCAGGCTTTATGACTTAAACACCACATTTTCCTGTTACGGGCATTAGCATCACTGATGAGTGGCTTCTCAATTGCAGCACGGCCAGCAATTCCCTGTTTATGAAGCTCCCTTCTAATTGTTTTGGTACTCACAGGGTTCGGTAACACAACATTCATTTCAGCAGTAACTTTTGCAGCTGTGGTCTTCTTATTTTTCGTCACAATTGCCCTTAATGATCGTCTGTCACGATCACTCAGGACACACTTTCGCCCGCGCTGTGATTTAGCAGATGACGTTTTTCCGCTTTTCAAATATGCGGAATAAATCTTCGATACAGTACCTCTTGAAACACTAAACACCTCGGCTAACCTTGCTTACGGAAGCACCTACCATACGTGCTCCAACAATTTGCCCACGTTCGAAGTCTGTTTAACTCTGACATAATGTAATGACAACCTCACATAACAGTACTCCGACAACAACTGAACTGTTTTGCCGCACATTTACGAAGTTTGTATAGGTGGCGTCAGTAGTCAAAAACGCCAGCGCCACCTACATATTTTCATTAAAATCATCTTTCTTTTCAAACATGCATTTCACAAGGTGTTTCCATATTTTTGTCTATCCACTCTATGTTAAAATTTCAGTACATATATAATGCATTAACCCAGGGATCAGTAACCTTTCGGACTAGAGGGCAATTTTTAAAAATGTAGTTCAGCAGACACCGTCAGGTGGCTATTACAATATGTATACATATAATAATTAATAAAATTAATATAATTCAATAATATAAATTAATATAACTATATAACAAAATTAAAATACGGTTACATCACAATAGGGTTAATTTATGTGGCTTGTAAATAATACAATGTTCTAACAATTTTTGTTATTGCAAAAATGTTTATTAAAGAATGTTACTATAGCATGCTATTCATAAATGTTGTTGTTGCTAAGCATGAAAATCACAAATTATTGTCATTGCACAACTGAAATAAATTGCTGACACAGAACAATCAGCTGAAATGAAATTATTTTCATATTAGCAATCCTAGCAAAAGCAATGTTGTCTGTTTGGCTGCAATGTTGTTTTCATTATCATGTAATCTGAAGAAGAGAATTCATACTCTGCTTAAAACTTGTAATACAAATTCACAAAATAACAAGTTCATGCTCGAGAAGAGGCTACAGATGAAAAGCGCAGCATGTTGTTGTTCAGCAAAGTATAAGGACAATGGGGACAGATAATAGTTTACTTCCTGCAAAGCACTCTATGTTATATCTCCCCTAACCAGGGTTATTTCAGGTGCCTGTAACAGCAGGATATAATTCCTGCTGAAACAGGCATATCAAAAGTATCAAAGTAATAGTTTACTGTGTCCAGAATCAGATAGTTCTAGCAGTCAATCAATTTTGGTTCATTTAATCAAGTAGTGTTTATCTCGATGTCACTAAGATTCCGCTTTTGTGAAAAGTTTGTGTAATTCATACAATTGTTAAAATGGCAAAGACAAAATAAGAATATTTCGTAAAATTATACATTACCATTATGCGTATTTATTGTCTACTTATTTTAAATTCAGAATTAAGATATTTGAATGGTGGGCAGTTTAAAACTGCTTTACAGGCACCACGTTGATGACCCTGCATTAGCCTATGGCATCTTATTCACTTCAGGGCTTTTAGCAAATACACATTATGATCTAATCTCAATACATGTTCAACAACATCTAATTGCTGAAGTTCGAATTTTAGTTATGCACATTTCTCACAAATAAAATAATATCAGTCAGATGAAAGGCGGCAGTCTATGAATTTTACAATGGGGAGGAGGGCGAAATTGCAGCCATTGGCAACAGCTTTGAGCATCTTATAGGTGAGAGTACAATTTCCTCAGTGCCACCACAATTCAAAGGAGAAACTCCTGAGGCACAAATTCGAGAACCTCACAACCCTCCTATCCAACCAAAAAACCACTCAAGTAGGCTTTCAGCTTGCCATGTATTCTGAGAGTCTCTATGTCTTGAAGACATTCACTAATAAATACATTTACAAACATTTAAGACTTTTCCGAGATTCAAACTCAGGATCATGAAATGCTTATTTTAAAAAGGTACTTATCCCATAAGTCATCAAATTGTCACCAAGAAGCGTGATTTAGTGCCAGTTACAGATGAGCATAATGTGTACACACTCATAACATCAGTGGTTTTGTTTACAATAACTCAGCTGATTCTTGATCAGCCACCTTTTGTTTTTAGATGCAAGGACATAAATCAGGTTTCCAGCAAGATAGTTATGGACCTCTTGAAATTCAATTAATCACATAACTCAGTGATGCTGACGTCACTGGATCTGTGATAATCAAGGGGTCAACTGGGAGTCAATAGCAGAACATGCACTGGCAAATGATCTGCATATTCAAGATACCATTAATTATAAAAAAATGTATTCATTAAATGGATAATTAATAATTATTTATTGATATCAATCTTTATCATAAAAATAAGCCTTACTCAAAATATATGGGTACCCTAATTTAAGAAACTGAAAAGTCATCCAAGAGAAATATCCCGAAATTAAGTTATTTTACCGGATCTACACTATTGATGTTCTCTTCTTTTTGACACAGTGGGAGCAAGCTTTATTCAAGTAAATAACTTATTACAGAAAACAAGAAATAGATTAAATATTTCTGACTGTAATTTAAAAATCAAAATAAGCAATTTTATACCAAAAATTCATAAAAATTCCAGCAATGCATTAAGCATAGTCAACACATTTATAAATATCTAACTTTCAGGCAATTAGAATCTGTGATTTTGTGTCTAAAAACATATTTATATTTTTAAAATTAAAAATAACAAGATTACAAATAATAATAAAACATCTATGTAATAAACCATTTTTAAAAAATTTGTCTGCATTCTTTTTGTCTAATTGCTGTCTTTAAGTTGCACATCCAGTTATTTGTATTATGATATGATTATATTGTATGCTATACATTGCAGAGAATGAAAAGGGGTCAAAAAAGGACACTATTCTTTTAAAAGATATCAACGCAAGGAAACATTAGGGAATTCCTAATATAAAATAATTGTTGCTGACGCATTTTTCTTTTTTTTAAATTTGGAACCTGCCTTCTACAGAACAGCGAGCAGTAGATTATAAAACAGGCAAATCAACAACCTTGTATTCAGCGTAAATTTTTTAAAATCCCAATTGATTTCGAAGGCAAAACGGGTCCCCCTTCATCAGGAGCTGAAATTTTTACTCCTGACGAAGGGGGACCTGTTTTGCCCTCGAAATTGATTGGGATTTTACAAAATCTATGCCGAATACAAGGTTGTCGATTTGGCATTTTCCACAACGGCATGTTTCGCTTGAGTCTTGAAACAGTGGATTGTTTTCAAATTTATGGCATCCTACCATCAAAACCACTGTATTAATAGACACAATATGATACTCTATTTGAAAATCCAGAACCAATGGTCCTCATTGCAATGTAATGTTTTGTGACCAGAGAATATGCATTTGAATTGGAACATAGTTCAAGAGCTGGCAAACCAAGCACATTTGTGACTGCACTCATTTACAATCAACGGAGAACATCAACATCTGTCAAATGGGAACAAGAACAGCTGAATATGGACAACAAAATGGTAATAAATTGGAACAATTACCTGCAAGAAATTTGTACACATAGCATTATAAACAGAGCTTCTGGTAAAATCAGAGAACTTAACAAAATAATAAAATTGATCAAAGCCTTTTAATGTAGCATAAAAATGAAGTACAAAAGGGATCTAATATATTAAATCATGAAACACTAAATGGGTCTAATACTGATCCTTTATTAAATAAAAAGGTATTACTTCCTTCAGAATTCCACAGGAATGACTGGTGCAGCTCTCATAGGATTTTCAACTTTCATGGTTCAGTGGTAGCCAATTTCGCAATCAACAGAATAATGCATAAATACCCCTCCAAAAAATTAAATAAGGAAAAAATTACCTTTTTTCAGCCTTTACAGAGTCCACTGCATTCACACTTTGAACAACTGCTTCAACGACCAAAACATCATCAGCAGACCATTTTTTAAAACTTTCGCAGCCATTTACAGAACATTTGTAATGAATCTGCAAAAATTTAATCACATGTGAGAAAACCCCGAATTTTTTAAAAAAATACAAGCAAAGGTTGATCCAGCAAATCACTAGCCATAACTACAAGACATATTATATATCAAAATTAACTACTCTTATCTAACAATACTTATTTTATAACATTTACAGGCATTACCTTTATTATACCATTTATTTGAGGTATGTTTTTCTATTAAAAATTCATAACACTTACTGTGAATATGCTTATGCAAATTATAGATGAAAAATGAAAACTGCATTTTGTAAGTTTCTTTGCAAGATAGAAAATAGTCTAACAGTATAATATTCCTGGAAAATTACCTTTACATACTGCCATTTTTCAAAAATTGTATATCGAATTCTTGCTATCAAATGCAAAAAGATGAGTTTAAGTAAATCTGTTCTTATCTTCCCATCTAAAGGGATTTAAGTTTCATTGCATAAGTATCCCCTTGATAAATGCAATTAACGAGATTGGCACAAAATTTAATTTATGACTTACAAAGTTTACAAGTTCACAGATAAGATTTAGTTCATATAATGGTAATAGAAAAAATGACATCAAGAACTTTGGAATACAGCAAAAAGGACATGTGTAAAAATGGCAATGTTGCTTGACTGAAAGATTATTATGAGCATGGTTGCCTAAAAAATCGTTATGCACGTGGCTGCTAGAGTTCAGCACATTCTGAAAATTTGGCAACTTCTACTAAGGTGGTAGTACCAAAAAATCTAAATTTTCAGCACTTAAATAATAAGCCTGGTCATTTTAACTCCTTAAATTTTAATACATGTAATTAGTAATAAACGCATAGGAACATGGAGAAAGCACGTCCCTACAAAAAAAGTGGAACATTCCTAATTTGTGAAACTAAAATTCCGTGCTGTATTCAGCAGCCGAGTTTCAGGTAACTGTTGACTTTCAGAACCGCTTTTCCGTTGCTTGCGAGTTTATGTACTTTGTTGCAACTGGGATATGACACTCACCCGTCCGTGTGTTTTTCTGATCGAATATTTGAGAAATTTATTTCTAGAGTGTAACAGTAAATATTTCTACTAGCGATTTTAAAGGATTGAAATTAAATTTTTAAAGATTTTAAGTGCATTATGGCAACAGGAATGACTTTCTATGAATTGGAGATGCATTGGCTGCAAGATTTATTAGAAATATTGGTTAGAGTAGACTAAAGGGTACCCCTTCTATTATCATGAAGTTGTTGTTTCATTTATCACCAGTGTTCGCCGAGTACCCGTAAATATACTTTTACCAGATTATGTATTTTTTGTTTGCCTCTACTGTAGAATTAGGCACTCCTTTGACCTTTTTAAGGAAAAATATATCGATGTGTACATGGACAATGTCAAACGAGTATGCAATGCCAAGTTTGTGGAATTCTCTCATGTTTTTTTAAGAGAAAATAGGTCGATGTGTACATGGATACTGAGCGGCGATTTTTGGTGCTAAAATCACCACTACACAAAGCCAAGATAACAAGTCAAAGAACTGCACAAACTCTGTATCCATGTGCCACCAAAAATCGCCAAATTGATATAAAGATTGCATTTCGGAAACTGAAGATGAAAATGGGAACATTTTCTACAATGTTTAGTCTCAAAAAAGATAAAACAATTTCTTATGTTCTTAAAAAGGAAAAAAACTGTTCTTATTCCTTCAACATTACATAATAATGCTATAGATGATACTATGGTAGAAAAGAAAAACACCAGAAATTATTTATTTTTATAATATGACTAAGGGAGCAGTGGATACTGTGGATGAAATGGCAGCAAGTTATTTCAATTGCCAGAATAACAAGAAGATGGTCAATGGTAATTTTCTTTTCTGAACTGAATGTTGCTGCAATAAATGCTCGAGTTATATTACTTTCAACTGCTAATCTACCAATTAGATACAGAAGCAGATGTGGCTAATTTTCGAAATATGGAAACAGGTAAATTGGCGATATTTCGGTAAGGCGATAAAGGTTACTAGCTAGGACTTTAGCAATAATCTGAGAAGTACACAGTTCGAATCGCAGATTATTTTGTCTCGGAGAAATGAGAGATCATGAGACATGTAATGAGACATTTAAGGAAAATTCCGATTGTGATTTTAGCTAATAAGCACTTAGAAACAATTTTGCTGCTAAAGTGCAGAATCGTCCAATTATTTGTTTGGCACTTTTTACAAGAGTAAGAAGAATTGGATTTTTGTCAATTTTATTTGACTTTTTAAGTTAAAATAGGTCGATGTCTACATAGATAAAGTCAAGAGCGTGCGCAATTCTGAGATTTTTTTTGAAGTGAAAATAGGTCGACGTGTATATGAATACCGTGTATGTGAAATTCTTAAAAACGCTGCAAGCAGTGGGCGATTCTGCACTTTCTCTCAATTTCGCATTTAATCTTCGTCATGATTAAGCACTTTTGTTCCATAAAAGTTCTAGCATAAGCGTAATTCGGCTAGCAAATTGTTGAAAAAATTTTGAGTTAAAAAAAAAAAAAACCATGCCTTTACTTCGTGAAAACAAAATGGCATCCAAAAAAAAAAAAAAAATAGCAGGTTGCTGTAGCAGGGTTAATCGCCAAATTTTCGCCAAGTTACCATAATCCAAAGATTCACCGCAGATGTCTATTTTTGAGGGACTTAGCATTACAATTAATAAAAAAAATGTATTGAACAACAATCAGAGATTTACTTTACCGAGAAACCTACGTACTAAAAGCAAAAGAAGAACGGAAGTTTCAACAAATAATTCAAAAGAATACATGAAATTCAAAACAACTACATTGAAAAGATGTGATTAATGCTCTCGAGCCAAAGATAGAAGGATACGAATGCAATGCTTAAAGTGTGAAAACTTTCTGTGCCAAGAACACATGAATGTATTCTATTCAAAGTGTAAACAAATAAAATAACCATTGTTTATTAGAGAAGCAATAAAACTTTAAAAAAATAAGATATGATGTTTATTTTGTTATTATTCTCATTTATCTTAACTCTTTATAAGCTTATTTTGGAAATTAATTTTTTGTAACCCAAGCATTATTCACGTGTTATAAAAGAAAAACCACTTGAAAACTAAATAAAACTATTTTTACTGCATTTTAAATAAAAATTGGAATCTGTGATACCCCATGCCTCCACTCTGATCACGTTTCTTGATGCACCTTTCACTGGGTTAATAAGCTGCATAATTAAGTAAATTAGAAAACATTAATTTTCAATGATCTCAATGCAATCATAAAATGATTTCTTTTACAAAAATAAACTTATGCAAAAGATTTACAGTTATCAAAACAATTACCGTTCCACTGTTTGGTGCGTTTTTTCTTTAAAAATTTCATGTCTTAAAAACTTGATGCTGTGGGCACCTGTGGAGGCATTGTGGCAACCAAAACCAAAAGTGAAAATATTGTCAACAATACATATGGGACATGCATGTTAAATGTTAGTATGCCAAGACTTTTGCTCGCCTGTTTCTTTAAAAAACCAAAATATCTTCAATTCTATTTGGAGATTCACAAAACTTTCTCCCCCCCCAAACATACATTAATACAGACAAACTGGTGTGAAGATTTCAAATGATATTGTTTCTTATTAAATTTTTAACAAAGCAGCTTCTCTTTGAGTGTATACTAAGTAACTTTTAACCTAAAGAGGAGGAACTGCCAAAGAATGCTTTTAGGCAAGACTGCCTACAATAAAGATGAACTGATACAATACATTTGGGGAAACTGTGCCACAGGATATAGGGAATACACAGATGAAGTCCCACTAATGTATGGGAGTTCTGACGGTGACGACCAGCTGTATAGTGAATAAATGTTAATTTCAGTAAGTTTATGCAATACGTTTCTCCTATTAAATTGCAATCCAGCAGGCTAATATAAACCAGTCTGTCAAACAAATAATTCTTTATTTTTTTCAATTTCCAGGCCTGATAATCAAGGTGAAGCTTATACAAAAAATATGGTAATAAACAAAATAAACTATCACTTTCTCAATGTAAATCTTATAAGGAAATAAAGTGGAAACAACTACTTTCTAGCAAAACCAACGAATGAAATTCTCTTCCAATTAACATGGCAGGTAGCACAGGCTGCATACTACAACAGTGGACTATGATTTCAGCACAGATGAAGCCCCAACAGTTGCAATAACTTGCCCTCCCTCTATAATGAAAATATCAGTTTACTCCCTTCTTCAATAAACCCTAAGCAACATTTCCAAAGAAAGGATTGTTAAAGGACTCATCTGGCCATCCCCATATGATCATGTAATTGATATATGCCATTGATTTACCTCTCCTGTCTGACGATTAATGCCATACATTTGCTTATATTTTCCACCTGTAACAGTTGTATTATGATCCAAGGTTTCTGTGTGCATTAATAAAGAATCCACATTGACAGGAAGAGGTTGCAATACTGCTCCATCATACTTAAATAATGATCCATCTAAAGATGGAACAAGCCATATGCGATTACCATCTTCAAAAACCTGTAAATAAAAATTTCAATTAGTCTGTAACAGTTTTATTTTAGTTGATAAATGATATTATTGGCTAATGAATTATTACATTTGCATTTAGCTCCTACAAAGAGTGAAATTGCATATGATAGCATAATCAAAAATTGAAGAAAGGAAGTTCAATCAATTGTGTCCTAATTCCATAATCCTGGATTGTGCTATGCAAATCACAGCATAGGAAGTAATTTATGTTGACCAATTAGTGACAGACAGAAATTACTTTGGACAATTTCATGATGTTATTCATAATATTCCATGCTTTTCACATACTTTTAATGAGAAGCAATAATAAAATTAACAGCCTTGTAATCACATTTATGAAATAACATTAACTTACTTCAAGGTTTGATAAACTCGATGACATAAATGTGCCAGTGTCTAATAGTGTGCTCCAGCATTTTTCCCCTGATGAGAAGTCTAAAGCAGTTAATACTCCATCCAATGTTCCCAAAATTACATATTCACTAAAAATTAAAATAATAAATTATAGTTCAATATTTAATCAACATAATTAAATAATTCAAAATTATTCAACTTCATTCCTCATTGCATAATAAACTTTAATCTTCCAAATTTCACTCTATAACCTTTAAATCCTTCTTTTCCTGTAAGCCTAATAGATAGTAAACATTATGCCAGTCAGTACAGATTCATCTCATGAAATAAGAAACTCAAAACAGCAAAATTATTCATTTTACTATTGTATCCACATTGTTGAACACAGGTTTCAAATTCCGAAAATCATCTGAAGCTCCCTTATGAGCTTCTAAAGGCTCACTGCTGAAAACCTTCCCCAACGTGATGCAAAAATCCTGCTCGGAAAGTTCTGCAAAATTACTTCAAAATTTCATGGAATATTTAATGTTTCACTTCTGATAGTTTAGTAAATTCCACGTTAGTTTTTGATTAATATGATGAACGTACATACTTGATATCAACCTCTTGAACAGAGTTGTATTTGCCAGGACACTATTTTGTCACAAAATACTCTAACTAACTAGATACTATACTAAGATTCTTACTTTGAATGTAAAATACGTATTAACATCTAAAGAATGAATCAGTGAATAAAGAATTGGTTTAAAAAGTATGGGAAGACTCATTTTTTGATTCAGCGTTACTTTTCATCACTCCAGGTTTTTGATATAGTCAACATTAACATGACCCCTAGAGTAATAAACTATTATTGACCGTAAAATACCTGTTAGCAGAATGTGCAATATCAGAAAAATCACAACAATAAGTACAGAAAGTACAGAAGTTAAATAAACCTATAAAACTAAAATTGGAGTAACAATAACTTCCAAATTTAAACACAACAAGGAAAAGTTAATAAAACCAAAATACCTTCCACATTCGTTCGTTTGTTTGAAGTCAAATGATGCTTTAGTGGATTCTGTTGAAAACTCAGCATTACATATAATAAAACCGAAAGTTATGCACATTAAAAATATAAGAATACATTCACGCATTTCAGAAGTTTTGAAAAATGATGTTACAAATATGTCAAACGTTCCCCTAGCAGCAACTGCAAGAATCATCGTTTTGGAAATCGTACCACAAGAATGTTGCCAAATTACAATCACAAGTTCAGGCTAGATTTCAGGAATACAATGTTAAAAAAAAAAAAAAAAAAAAAAAAAAAAAAAAAAAAAGAAACAAAAAACACCAATTATTAATTTAATTTTTTTTTACTTATTGCAAAGGCTACCATTTGTTTTCAAATACTCGTGCTTCTAAAATTTTGAGTAGATTTTGTGTATGTTAACTAATTACTTGCGATGCACATAAACAGATAGTTAAAGGGGGATGTACTTTGGTGGCGCCAATTGGGCCGATGCTATTCGCACCAGCGGTAGCGTATTTTTACTTCCTCCCTAGGAAACGCAGCCTGCGATTAAATTTGGCGATTTATCAGGTGTTGGCGAAATTGTGACACTAAGCGCGTGCGCAAAAGGGAATAACGCTGCCGGTTTATGTTTCAAAATTGTGATGGCTGCGAATATGTCAAACGAAGTTTTACTAGTGGCACTAAGGCGTCGCACTTCGTATTTTGTTTCTCTTGTGTGTACATGTATTCTTCTGTGAAATAGTCGTTAAAAAAATAGTTAATTATGTATGGATTAGTAATTAGGTACTTAAGGAAAAAATATGTATTTAACTATTAGCAATTATGAATTTAAACTCTTACTCATTTAATTATTTAGCACATTCAGTTATCTTTCTCATAACTCGAAACTTCTATCATGTTATTCGATGAGGGGTAGGGCTATGGCGCCCAGGCACCCTGGTGGTTAAGCACCGCAGTTCAATGTCAAACGAACTAGGAAAAGGAATGAATTTATAAAATTTTATTTGATGGATATTCCTTTTGAAAGAAGTCTTCCAAGTTCGGAGGAAAAGAGGATTTCAACTTTGAGATCAGATGTATGTGATCTTTATAGTGCAGATCGATGGAAGAATTAGAAAATACATTTTGAAGCTGTTTCCCACGTGCATTGGATTTTATATTCCAAAACAAAACAATAAAAATCGGAAAGAGCAAAGTTTATTTTTAAGAAACATTATGTGTGTCAACATGCAAGACTAAATAAGAAAGAGGCTAGTTTCAAGAATAAAGAATGTTTATCTGCTTTGCATGTCAGAATTAAAAAAAAAATAATAAGAAGATGTGGTGATGCGCATGTAAAAAAGACTCGTTGCACTTAAGTTTCATTTCGGCATACATATCGATGTGATGTTGCTGAAGCGTAGAATTGCTTACGCCCAATTGATACGGTGAAAGAAGTGTTAATCACTACTTTCGTGCCGGTAAATAACAATTTAAATAAATTTTATCTGCTATCTCAAGGTTCCGTATAATACGTCAAAATGCGATAATCGTCTCAAACATATGAACAAGATTGTTTCTACCTAGACTTTGTTTTATACCTGATACTTGGATTTGAAAAGTACAGTCGGTCACAAAAGTATTCGAACACCGGTACCCTATCAGAAAATGACAAGATGGCGTTTTTTTTCCCTCTTTCTCTCTGTGTGTCGTGTTATTCCATCCTAGGTTTTCTTCTCCCCCCCATCTTGGAAAAAAACTGGAAAAAATTGGTCACGATCTCTTTTTGAATGGGGAGATGCCATTTTGAGAAAAAGCTGACGACCCTATCTTGGAGAATGAACATGACCGCTCTACACACCCTTTCTCTCTCTCTCTCTCTCTCTTTGAATTGGGAAGCCATTTTGGGAAAAATGCAGACGACCCTATCTTGGAGAATGGAAATGAACGCCTCTCCCTCTCTCTTTGAAATGGGAAGCCATTTTGGGACCCTCTATTCTTGGGGAGGGAGAAAACTGAAAACTGAAGTCTGCACTTTCGCTGTCTCTGAATGCGGAAAGCCCTTTTGGGAAAAGCGGACCCTCTTCTTCTGATCTTGGAGAACTGGAAATGAACGCTCTACACGATCTCTCTCTTTGAATTCAGAAGGTATTTTGGGACCTTCTAATGTTGGAAAACTGAAATGAACGCTCTACACATTCTCTCTCTCTCTCTCTCTCTTCTCTGAAATGGGTAGCCATTTTGAAACCTCCCAACTTTGGGAAAAAAACAGAAATGAACGCTCTACACCATCTCTCTTTGAAAATGGGGGGTGTCATTTTGAGACCTCCCTCCCCTAAACTTGGAAAAAAAAAACTGAAATGAACGCTCTACACTTTCTCTCTTTGGACATGGGTAGCCCTTTGGGGACCCTCTCCTCTTGGTAGAAAAAAAAAAAGAACTGAAGTGAAGGCTCTACACAATCTCTCTTGGAATGGGATCCATATTTCGGGAAACGTGGATCACCTCATGCTGGAAAACTGAAGTGAACCACCAAGATTGGACTCTATATAATATTTTTTTTAATTGACATCATGACCCTCCTCCAATTTGTTATTAAAAAAAGTTTTTTTTTGTTTTGGTTTTTATCCCATTTCCGATGTGATTTCAGAAATGCAATTCCATAACAGTTCAATTTCATTCGAGGTTAAATGATCTAAACAGTCTTTGACCCACCCATCCGTATGATTATTTTCTTCTCCTTCCTGTTGCACCAAATTTTGTAAGTCCATATAATCATTCCATACGGGAAGGGCTGGATCCTCACAAGGCTGTCTTGAAACACTTGGAGTCTCTTTGGGATGAGTGGAGGGATGGAGGGATCTAGGATGTCTGGACCCGGCTGCGATTCTACCTCCATGATTTCTGGACCCGTTGGAACTTGTTTACCCGGCTGAAATTCTACCTCCATGATTTCTGGACCCGTTGGAACTTGTGAACCCGGCTGTGATTCTGCCTCCATGATTTCTGGACCTGTTGGAACTTGTGGACCCGGCTGACATTCTACCTCTACGATGTCGGGACTTTTTGAAGCTTGTGGACCCGTCTGACATTCTACCTCTACGATGTCGGGACAGGTTGGAGAAGAAGAAGAAGAAGAAGAGGAGGATACTGGAAGAGGTTCTGTCTGTGAGGAGTCCGAAAGAGGTTGCCTGTTTGAACAAGTCGGGGAAGAAGAAGAAGAAGCTTCTGGATTCTGAAGCGGATCTTGCACGCCAGGTAGGTTCCGGTAAGTCGACCGTTTTTTAAGAGGTAATTTTTTTTCTTCCTCCTCATCTTCAATTGTGATGACTTCAATTTCATTCCGTTGCCGGGTCGATTTTGTTTCGGGCCATGACGGTTTGGTCCAGCTCCTCTTATCATCTAAGGAAGGGATGGGTAAAGGTGGCGGAGGGTTTTCTTCTTTTTCTTGAAACATCATCGGCGATTGGAAAGAAATCTCCTCTTTCAATTGTTTCCAAAGCGAGTACGAGCACCGATCGACGAGAAAGAGACTCTTCTGGGTTGTGACGATGAGATATTGCGTTTTCGGGGGAACGACATAGTTTTGAAAAGGTCTTAGAATATATTTCTTATATTTCATCCTGTCGCTGACTTTAAAACTTCTTTCCTTCAGATTGGGGGACGATGATTCGTAATAGGCGAGAGGAGCGGCTGTGGTTTGAACAATATGAACTTCGTCCTCAGCCGTCGTTCTCACTCCAAACGTAAAATATCGTTTCGTGAGAAAAATATTCTTCCACCGAAAACTCGTGCGCGGATCCGTATATCGCCGGTCTGTTTGAATGGGCCGTCTCAAAGCTCGATCCATCCGATTCCAAGAGAAGGGAGATTCCTCTTTCGTTTGTTGCGATTCGAATAAATTTCTGTATATATTCTGAACGAGCAGGTTGGAGGAGGATTCGACATCTTGGTTGAAAGAAACGATCGCTTGATGAGGTGGTAAATGCGGAATAAATGTCGCACAATGACACGCCAAAAAAATTTTCAAGTTGGAGATTTGCTTTAGCGTCTTCAAATCCTCCCCGTTCGAAATCCGTTGAGTTGGAAAAACGTCTAATAGCGACATGGCTCCCAATGGAAAAGAAATGATCTCGCCCAGTACTCTCGTCTTTTTATATATATATAGACACACACAGACACACATAGAGGCTCTATGACGTCCGTTT